TCCTAAAATCAATTAGTTTTGTCTTCATAAGGTGGACATAGTTTGTGCAAAAGTTTTAAACCAACCTTAAGTTCTTTACAATTTTATCAACTGCCTCCAAACACAAAGGCAATAATGTTCTTGTTTGTTTTGGTCTGTTAGCAGAAAATCTCATGAACCATTGAATCGATTCAAATAAAACCCTTTAGCAAGTAATCACTGGATGTACATCTACAACTGATAAAAACTTTGAGTTCAACCAAACATGGCTGCCACAGCTGCCTTATCTAAAAAAAAATACAAAATGGCTTTAAGTTCGACAAATTTGCAGATATTAACCAAAGTCTTGGTGTGGTTGGAGCTAAAACTGATCCACATTCTGTACACAAATTGTGCGAGATTTCTTGTTGCAATTTTGCTGTTAACTAAATGGAGTCAACTCTGCTTGTCTGCAAAATWTCTCGTGATCTATTTGACATATATTGTTGAAAGTCTCAGCAAGTAATCATTAGATATACCTCTATATGGGATTGATGTTCAGAATCAACACCATTCAACGTGACCACCACAGTCAACTAACTTTACAAAGTACAAAAATGACTCCAACTCTGTCAGTTTTGCAGAAATTGTGCAAAATTTGTGGTAGTTTGAGAGCTATTCCAAAATTGTGTTTCAAAAACTAACAATACCTATAAGTTTAATGCATTTTATATTCCATTTTTACACATTACTGTTTTTTTTTTTTTTTCGAGTGTATTTCCATTTAGTGGAAGTTTTCCATTTAGTGTTTCTTGAGATCATTTCTCAGGACTGAAGCCTCCATACATCACCTCAGTTTGCATGTTGTTGTTGTTGTTGTTGTGGCGGAGTGCAGGTGGGAGTGCTTACGTGTGCGCGCGCATGCATGCCCCGAGACGGAGTGTGCATCTGTGTGTGCGTGGGTGTGTAATCCTACCAGCGGATGCAATTTGCATCTCCTATCTCGCAGGCCTCAGAGCGTGCTCAGGTATTTGCATGTTGATCTCATTCCCATGGTTACGAGGGGAAATGAGACCAACTCGGCAGCAGAAGACAGGAAGAAAACTCAGACAAAAACAGACTGAGAGCAAAAACAGGCCAACACTCGAGCTGTGTGAGAGAAAAGAGGGGCGCTGAAGCGAGGACATTTGTTTTATGGGTTTGAAACACCTGCTGATACTGCTCTGTTACTTTTACAGGCTTTGGAATTGGATTTAGTTTGATACGTATTTAAAGCTTTAAATCCCGTGTAAGACAAGTATAACGTGACAGAAATGCTGAAACAACAAAGATGAGCAGAAATGAGTGTTTCCATTGCAAATCTATTGTGTTATATTTGTTAAATAACATCTCTGCCTCCCATTTTGCTTTTAGAAACACAGGAAGTTTGCAAGTAAACCTGCAAAGTGCTCTGTTCGAAAAAAAAAACACATCATGTCTGATGGAACCATGTAACGTGAAAGTGAAGATAAAGGTTTAAATGTGGAAGCAATCAGCTTTGGCCCTGTTCAGACTAGCCATTTGCTTGGCAGTCTGTCAGAATTGGTACCTTTTTCTTCAAACTTTTGTGCAAAGAACCATCTCCAGCAGGTAAGATACCGCTTATTAAAAAGAAAAAAATTGTATAGGTCTTCTGGACGGGTTCTTCTCTAATGCAACGTTTCGTCTCTCCTCCAAGAGACT